TTGCAAGTTCAGTATAGCTTTAAAAACTGATTGTTTTTTCCCTAATTGAAAACTTCCATCTGTGATTAGGACTGATCATAGGATCAGGTAGTAGCACATCATTTAATCATAGAATCACTGAGTCTGGAGCGCTTGGGTGGCTCAGTCGTTAAGCATCTGCCTTCGGCTCAGCTCATGATCGCAGGGTCCTGGGACCCAGTTCTGCATTGGGCTCCCTGCTCAGCAGGAAGCCTGCTTCTCCCTCTCCTACTCCCACTGCTTGTGTTCCCTCTCTCAGTCTCTCTTTCTGTCAAATAAATAAAATCTTTAGAAAAAAAAATCACTGAATCTCAGGATTCCAAGGGGGCCTTAACTTCCCCAGTCTTAAAACCAATGATCACATTTCCTTCATAAAATTGCCAGCAAAAAGCTGAGCTCAAGTTTAATTCCCCACATAGCAAAGAATTCACTGTGTTCCAAGACTGTATTTACATTTTTAGAAAGCTCCTTAAGTACTGAAACACTCATCTTCACATTGAACAGAAATCTGTCGTCTTATCACTTCCACCCAATGGTGCTAATTGTGACTTTTGGAGCCACGCTGAAGAATTTTAATCCTTCCAGATGATAACCATTCAATGTTTAAAGACAATATCACGGACCCCTAAGTCTTATCCAGATCAACTTGGCTAGGTTAGTGTAGCCCTTCCTCATATAAACTGGCGCAGAATCTCACAGTGTGCAAAGGATGGAACCAAAACTGAGCACAACCATAGGTACAGTCCAGCGCACAGGAACTGGGGGCTATTGCCTCTTTTGCTGTGGGTCTTACATTTCTATTAAGCTCCCCAAATAGCATTAGCTTCTTGGACAGCCACATAACACCACTGGCTTATACTGATCTTACAGTCAATTACAGCTCCCACGTTGTTTTTATACAATTGTTGCTATTAAACTAACTCAAATCTGGCATTTGTACAGAATCACCCCTACACAATTATAGGGGTGCCTGGGTGGCTCAGTTGGTTAAGCATCTGACTCTTGGTTTCGGCTCAGATCATGATCAGGCTCGTGAGGTCAAGCCCCACATCGGGCTTCACGCTCACCAGGGAGTGTCCTTGGGATTCTCTGCTTCTCTCTCTCTCTCTCTCTCTCTCTCACACACTCTCAAATAAAAATAAATAAATCTCTTTTTCTTTAAAAAGACTACACAGTTATAACAAGTAACTTCTGATGTTTACATCCCCAAGACTAAGGGGGTGAAATGAAATGTCCTTTCATATGTTCTATACTAGCCATACATATGGCTTTGTTTCTCTTTATCTGGATCCATATCCTGTTAGGATTCAACGTGGTATCAGCTTCATATTTTACCGTGCATCTTGATTGAAGGGGAAAAACAGACTCATTAGATTTATCTAGAGATCTTCTCCACATTAATCTACTTTCCTAAAATCCTTGAGCCTTTCTCCTAAATTGTATGTTTATAAAGCTGTTTTTGAACCTACAGTGTATCATTGGAACAAATTTATTTTTCTCAGTGCTTCTAGAATTAAAATACTTTCTAATGGTCAAAATGTCATTTCATAACATATCTTTCCTTACACTCTTGAAATAACTACCTTAAGCATTACAGTGTCTTTAAAAATACAACATATATAGATAAGGGATAAATGATTTCTATTAGAGAAAGTTTTCTTATTGTTTAAGGTCCTTGTGAAATTATTCTATTAGCTCATTTGCTAATGCTTATTAACAGAAAACTATTTTCCTGTCAGTTGGAATCTTTGATTACTCAGTAGAATGGAAATAGAAAAGGATTCTCTCCTTTATATGTTCCATATAGTAGAAACCGCTTACATGTTACATGTATTTGCACTTAACCTATCTGAAATTCTGCTATTTGGAAAATTCATCTATCCAGAAGACAACTTGGAACCTACAAAAAAATTACTTTTGGAGCCAGACATTTGTTGACCTTAATACCCATTCATGGTCCTCTCAAATGAGCATCTAAGAACATACTCTGTAAAGTTGGCATGCTGCCATTTTTCATAGTTTTATGGATTCATGTGCCTTCATACCAGGCATCTGCTACTCCCTCTGGTTGGAATACCTTTGGTCATTTTCTCTATCTGTTTAACTCTTACTGCTCCTGAAGACTGAGAGACTGAGCTGACAAACCTCCCTTCTTAAAAGCAAGCTGGCCTTCACCATCCCAAGTTCGATAACCCTATTCCTTCTCTTCCATATTACCGTAACTATCTGGGCTACATACCTCCATGTAGTATTCTATGCAGGGACTTGTAATCATATCAAAGACTGAGCTTTATGAGGGCAAGAAGCATCATGGTTTAACCCTCTGTATGTCCACAGCACCTCCCGCTGTGTCTAGAACCCAAGCAGGAACTTGGGAAATTGTCACTAAATGAAAGAGCCTGCTTGGTAATCAGTTTCTGGTTAATAGCAGATTTTATGCAACAAATTAGGAGAAGACAAGGCTAGAAGAAACACAGCGAGAGAAAAGACACGAAAGCCTGACAGAAAAAGTACGTTGAGTGATACCAAAATGTAGAAAGCACAACCCCCTTTTAATACTGAAGAACTCAACCCTTGCTTATCTGTGAAGTTCCTGAGGGCATTTCTGTTCCGTAGCATAGTTCTTTCATTGATAGCCACAAGACAATCCGGAGTCATCAAGAAAAGGCTGCATTATTTGCAGCATCTTATGTAAAAGAAGTCAGAAAATTGTAAAGAGGGGCACCTGGGTGGCTCAGTGGGTTAAGCCTCTGCCTTCAGCTCAGGTCATGATCTCAGGGTCCTGGGATCGAGCCCCGCATCGGGCTCTCTGCTTAGCAGGGAGCCTGCTTCCTCCTCTCTCTCTCTCTCCCTGCTTCTCTGCCTACTTGTGATCTCTGTCAAATAAATAAATAAAATCTTTAAAAAAAAAAAAAAAGAAAATTGTAAAGAGAGAATCATCCAAAATTATTTTAAAAAGCTTTGGATGTATAAAGATTCAAGTCCTGGCTATTCAAAACAGCCCCTTACCTGAGGTTCTAGGCACTGAGGTTTTATTATATTATCCCAAAGTCTAACATTTAAATATTTAAATGTTTATCTGAAGTATGTCATACACAGTGACATTTTATTTGGTTTGGTAACTGACCACAAAATTCTAAGAACAGGAAGTCATAAAAATCAAGTGACCGCAAAGAAGGAAAAGTCAAACTATCACAAACAAGGAGTCCAGGAAGATTGGTGTACACTGAAGGTTAACTCTAGTCCTTCACATTTGATCTGCACAAAATACTGTAAAAATTTCATTCCTATATATTCTTTCCCCCACCGTCTGTGAGCAAATTCTTGAACCAAAAGACATGTATGTTCCTTAAGGATGAACACTAATTCTCCAGAATGGATATAGTCTTTGATCCAGATAAATGGAGAGAACCTCCTTTTTGAGTTGTTCAGCTCTTTCTTGTGTAGGAAGTGGTAGGAGTCAAGTTGAATTTCAAAACATCATCCCAAATATAAGAAGGTACCACACCCTCACTGGTACCTTGATCTCTGGCCCTGCTTTTCCCAGCTCCTGCCATCAGCACAAGGCAAGTATCTTCAGCGGCCCAGCTCTGTCCAAGGCTTTTCATGAAGTACGAAGCTTAGCTCTCATCATTTGAGCTTTTTTATGTTACCAGAGCAAGCAAGATGGGCCAATGTGGAATAAACATCTTCCCTTCTAACCACTACAGTTCTCACTGCTCTACTACACATTTTAAATGAAAATATTTCCATTCTCTGCACCGCAAAGTTAACCTCTTCCATTATGTGGGAAGAGAGGAGCCATAATGATCTGCAGTAAAGGAATATCCCCAGTTCACAGTGTAAGAGTTGGTTTATCCATCACCATCCCAACTGAGTTTTGACAGTCACTAACTGGACTTTATGGTATATTTTCTCTAGCTGGATTAGAAGATCTGTAAGGTCTTTTTTTTATTTTTTTAACCTGTAAACCACAGTTCTGAGCTCTAGGTAACATATTGTGCAGTCTTCAAAGTAAAAACTACCTTGGACTCTGTGTGATGAGAGAGAAGGTGCAGGGGAAGGAGGGAGGAAAGGAGGAGAAGGCTGGGCCTGCACACAAGAGAAGAAAAGACTTCGTCTGTAATACTGAGTTAAAGATGATTACCAGTGTGCAAATATCTGCTATCAGACTCCTTCCTGAAAGCTAATATTGCTGGGTGGGGGTGCGAGAAAACTCTTTAAAGAAGGTAGGGGCCAAAGGAAATTGAATGAGAGGAGTTTCATGACTTTGCTTTGGTTTAAGTCCTGCGTCTGCTCTCATTCTCACCAAATGTTAACATTCAGAGGAAGCTTTAAAAATCCTATAGAAGAAAATATTACTAGGCATTGTTAATTGCTACAATAAATTCCTAAAACAGTTGAACAGGATTTCAGACTCTGGGTCATATTCTAAAGGAAAGCTCTCTGCATTAGATTTAATTTGAGAGTTTCCTTTTGCCAGTCAAAAGTTGTCTTCTCACTCCTGCCCTCCCACCCCTGCCCCTACTCTGTATTTTTAGTGATTTTCAAATGTGAAAATTAGAAAATTTAAACAACTTCTTCATTAAACAAGAAATAGGTAAGTACCATATACCCTGCTTAATAAAATACACAGTACCAGTTTTAGAAAGACACTGGCTGACTCAGTGGTGGAGCACTGACTCCTCATCCCACGGTTGTGAGTTCAAGCGCCATGCTGGGTGTAGAGATGACTTAAAATTTTAAGGCAAAAAATAAAAGATGACGATGACAACAAAGTACTATCCTGGGCTCAATATTTTCAAGAGTGATTAAATAATTTTTTCCTTCTGCCTTTTTTTTTTTGGAGGAGGGAGGTGGTAGTAAGAGAATGTTTATATTGTTATACTTTTCTTTCAGACTATTATTGTTCTATTTTCAGTTTTCATATGAGGAAAAAAACGTCATTTTATGTGAACATTTTTCCTTGATGTTGTTTTAAATGTAGGACGCGTTGGAACACCTCATTTTATGGCCCCAGAAGTCGTCAAAAGAGAGCCTTATGGAAAACCTGTAGATGTCTGGGGTTGTGGCGTGATCCTTTTTATCCTGCTAAGTGGTTGCTTGCCTTTTTATGGAACCAAGGAAAGATTGTTCGAAGGCATTATTAAAGGAAAATATAAGGTAATATGAATGTTATATTTTTCCATTGAGATTAAATTATTCTGGAAAATAGGAAGTCACTATCTGGACTTCCTGATTATCATGTAGTTACCCAGTCAGAGAATAGTTCTTTGCTGACATCATTGATGCCCTAGCCTTGTTATACAGTATGGACCTCAAGCCAATTTCTGAATCACTGAAGACAGGAGACTGGCTTTAAAACAACTTTGGCCTTTCCCCTCCCTCTGTGCTGCAGCTGAACTCTGTCCCACATGTTTGGAACGCGACCCCGTGTTTAAGCTATAAAAACAGGGACCCTGGTCTCTTCGATACAGTATCTGTACGTGCAAGTCAATAGTTCCGAGTCTTGGGCCCTTAGATTCACAAAGCCAGTCCTTTTACCATAAATACATTCTAGCAAAACTGCCCTGCTTAGTGCCCTACTTATTTCAAATAAAATTCTAGTTCAGGGGAAGAATTTGGAATGACCCTTGGAATTTATTGTGATAGAATTTGACCTTTTATTTTACCCTGGGCGAGGTGTTCACAACAGATGTGAGCCCAGATGTGAAGGTATCCATTCTCTGTGCAGTGACCAAACCTCCTCTTTAGGCTAAGCTGGAAAATAAACTTCTTTGGCCCTTCTTTGTGTAACTTGAGGAAAGGGCTTCGTTTTTAAAGCTTTTTGCTTAGTTTGTAAAGTGAAAATGGAAATTTCATCCCAGTGATTTAGTAATTCTTTATTTCACACTTAGTATCTGCCTTTATTTATTTATTTATTTATTTTTGCTTTACCACACATGTTGTTCCATTTGATGTAGTCAGCTAGCACAGCTGAAAAATTGGCCACTTACATCCCAGGATAAACTGAAATGCCAGAATCACAACTGCATGTCATAATATACTTTAGAGCCATGTGGTGGGACTTAAACATTCCTGTTCTTCTTTGGCTACTGTGGCTTGGAAACTGCATAGACTATTCACAGACTTGTGATTAACATATTATTACTTTCCTTATTAAAAAACTAAAAATTCATCAGTGACACTCTGAGTGGCTATACCAAAAAGACCCAAGGAATGCTTGGAAATAAACAAGCTCAAGGGCGGTCTCGCTGCCCCAGCTCTTACACTCTGTGGCCCTATACCGCCGCATATGACCAAAGACTCAAATGCTGTCTACGGGAAACATGGGGGAGCGTGTGTGTCTGTATACCAGCTCCGCACAGCTGATGTTGGGGAAGTTCTTTTTCTGCCCCATGTTACTGAAACCCATACTTTCTATTCAACACAAGCCCTGTTTCATTTTGCAGCCACGCCTGGCAAAACCAGACACACAGGTCCGTGTAGCACCAGACTCCAACAAAACTCTGAGGCCTGTTAAGTTTTCTTTTCATTTCCTCAGTAATGTTAGAATTTCACATGGAACTTCAAGAAGAAGGGGTAGGGAGAGAAATGAAAGGTGAAGTAGCTTCAGGGTTGCAGGTGGGAATGAATTCCACTTTCCTTTTCCACCTCGTGCCATCTCCAGCTTATAAGGAAGGGCCTGCAGCTTCGCCTTGTTCTTTAGTTGGACGAAGATATATGCCCAAATTCTGTTGACAGAGAAAGATGTTTGAAATACAGGTTTTTCTGCTTCTCTTAGAGTCACTCGGCCACGGGGGAATAAAATTAATCCTTCCAGGGTAACTAAATATCTCAAGAAACTGCTTGTAAATAGCCCTCCCCCTCCAATCCCTGGAAGTTGTGAGTGGCTCTGAGGAATACATGGCCATGGCTTTCTGGTCCAATCTGGCCGAGTGACATCACAGATACTAACATAGGAAAACAAACACAATTAGCCATGCACCAGCATAATAATAATACTAGTAGTAATGATAGCTGCCTCATAGCTAGCACTTAGTATGTGCCAGGAACTGTGCTAAGCACACCTATGAACTCACTTTATCCTCCCAGTGCCTTACAACATGGTACCATGTAATGAAATCTCCCACCTGCCTTTTGGAGCACCAAGCATTTGCTAATAATAGAATTCTCCCTTTGTGTCAGTTCAGTTGCTAACTTCCTGGTTTCCAAGACAAACTGTGTTCCAGCAGCCTCTGGTTTTTCATTTTCTCTTTTTGTAAAGCACTGGATAGTTTATTTGATTCCTTGTAAGAAATTTGAACTGTTCACACATGCCAAAAATTAAGCGATTTTAAAACCCCCATTCTTAGTAGTATAGTAAGTCAGAAGGACATGACAGCTGTATCATAATTTCTGCGCCTGGTGGTGTGAAGCTTTGAGGTTAATAACTTATTTACTCTTTTACTTGGCTAACCTTTCCTTTCATTTATATTCACGGCTTTTTTTTTTTTTTAATATGAAAGCCCCATGTTTTCAGCAGCTTTTTTTGAAGTATTGCTCCCTCTACAGTGATAAACCCGGTGGCCTTTCATAGATATGTGTGTGCATATGTATATATATACATATGTACATATGTATACACATGCACTGTGCTGTGATTCTGTCAGCATTTATTTTTACGCTTTTTGTTATTGAAAATTTCAAAGAAAAGTAGTAGAGATAACAGTACAATGAACTCCCAGCTTCAGTACCTAGCAACAGATAGCCAACCTGGTTTCATCTGTATTGCACATACTACCAGCCAACCTCAAAAATACAATTTCAAGTCGCCAGGGTGGCTCAGTGGGTTAAAGCCTCTGCCTTCAGCTCAGGTCATGGTCTCAGGGTCCTGGGATCGAGCCCCGCATCGGGCTCTCTGCTCAGTGGGGAGCCTCCTTCCTCCTCTCTCTCTCTGCCTGCCTCTCTGACTACTTGTGATCTGTCAAATAAATAAATAAAAATCTTTAAAAAAAAAATACAGTTTTATCACCCTGGTAGTTCCTAAGAACTGTGAGCAAAATTCTTGATCTCTAGGGGTATTTTCAAGAAAATTTTGATGACATCTTTCCAAAAGCTGTCATAGTTTATCGACTGCTACTGGCCTTATGTGATTTTCATTTAACCCTTTATTCTCACTTGCTGGCCTACTTGATCTTTTCAGGTAGCTGTCTGGGAATACCATTTACCTCGAATATAGGCTAACATTTAATTTTGATGAACTTTCTTATAAAAGACAAAAATGTATTTGCCAAAGTATGTACAAGATGCAGTGCCATACTCTGCTATGCGTAGCCAGTTGGCAGCTCCACACCGGGAGTCGGGGCACCTGTGGCTTTAGTATTCAAAGGAGTGAGAGTGGTCTCTACCCCTGGTTCGTTCCCCTTATATAAACTCAACCTCCCACATTAATTTCAGCTACCCTTTCAGCCAAAGAAAGAGGAAAAGCCTGGATCAGACTCCCTCACAAATAGAATGGGGGGCATATATTTCTCAGCCTCTGCTCATCTCAGAAATCTTACCACCACTTTAAGATAACATCTCCACCCCTTTCCCCAAGGACAGATCATTCGGACTTTAAGGAGCACATCAGCTCCAGGGTGGGGAAGCGGGAAAAGGCTGCGCCTCATCTCAACACCCACAGGATTTCAACTGGACCAGTTGATCACAATTTTAATAGGATGATGACAGTAGGGCACTCACTTTAGAATCTGCTTCAGAGAAGCAGAAGTGACTATTGTTTGGCATTCTGCCTGTTAGGAAAAGAACGAGGAACATTTTTCACTGCCCATCTACAAGTATAGAGACTCACCGTAGCCAGAGTGAAATATCTCATGCTAACCCTTGGCCAACTGTAATGATTCCTGTGTACTGTGATGCAAGCTGTGATTTTATTTGGCTTTAAGTTGTGATGGACTTTATTCTTCATCTTGCTCCCTTAGAAGGTGACCTAGGACTCCTCTGGTTCAAGCCATGGTATCACTAGCTCCTGGCACCAGGCAGCTCACATACATTCACCCGATCGGTCTGCTTCTTGATATTAAATAAGGAATGAGACCGTACTCATCTCTCCCTGCCAGTCCCCACTGGCCTTCCCAACTGCAGACCCTAAGTATCCCTTCCCTTTTTTCTGTTTCCTGGTCTCAGACATACCGTTTTCCCCAGGAGCCATCTTGCTCTTTTCCTCCCAGATCCACTTTCTCGCAAGTCTTGTATCTTTTAAACAACTCATAGTTTTTGTTCATTTGTTTGACTTTAGTCATTTGGCCTTGCGACTTAGTTGTCTCATCTCTACAAGAGGAACCAACGTAACTTCACTGAAGGCAATATACAAGTGATCTGGCTATTGTGTAGGGCCTATGGTATCAGTATATTTGTTCCTAAATACTGAAATTGATGTGCAGTGACCACAAAATAGCCTACTAGGAACTTCACATAACTTCGTAATTACTGTACTTTCCAATTTTAAAAAGAAAGTGTTTCAAAGTATTTTTAAAATTTTCAATTTAAAAATTTTATTAGTCCTGGGGTGCCTGGGTGGCTCAGTGGGTTAAGCCTCTGCCTTAGGCTCAGGTCATGATCTCGGGGTCCTGGAATCGAGCCCTACATCAGACTCTCTGCTCAGCAGGGAGCCTGCTTCCCCTTCTCTCTCTGCCTGCCTCTCTGCCTACTTGTGATCTCTCTCTCTCTCTCTCTCTGTCAAATAAATAAATAAAATCTTTAAAAAATAAAAAAATAAAAAATTTTATTAGTCCTTTCCTAGAGCAAAGTATCTAGTCTCTTTAGCTAAGGTAGAAACTGCAGTCAGGAATATTCTGTTCTTCAGTTATTAAAAATAGTATAACTTGGGGCACCTGGGTGGCTCAGTGGGTTAAGCCGCTGCCTTCGGCTCAGGTCATGATCCCAGGGTCCTGGGATCAAGCCCCGCATCGGGCTCTCTGCTCAGCAGGGAGCCTGCTTCCCCCCCTTCTCTGCCTGCCTCTCTGTCTACTTGTGATCTCTGTCAATTAAATAAATAAAATCCTTAAAAAAAGATTTAAAAAAATAGTATAACTTATGTGACAATAAGATCATATGTAAGGGATATTTACTGATGCAAAATTTCATAGACGGAGCAACAGCCACCAAAGCCTTGCCTTTGTCCTCTTCCTTAGAAAGCAAGGCTTTAGAATCAGATTTCTCTTCTTCAAGAATTTTATTCACATCGAAATAGCATAAGAGTGTTACATCATAGTGAACGTTAACTTCTCACTGGACGATAACTATGGAATTTTCCTCTCCTTCTCTTCAGATGAATCCAAGGCAGTGGAGCCATATCTCTGAAAGTGCCAAAGACCTAGTCCGTCGCATGCTGATGCTCGATCCAGCGGAAAGGATCACTGTTTATGAAGCACTGAATCACCCATGGCTTAAGGTACGGGGGCGCGTAGGTGGCCCACTACACCTTGTGTGAACACTTCCGGCGACAGGAATGTCTTGCTCTAGAGGGCAACTCTTCCCACCTCTTTTCTGAGCACTTTTTTGGAGTTTTGTCCATCTTGTTTGCGTTTCCAGACAGCCTCTGTAAATACCTGAGTAGAAAATACACCATTCTAATGACAGTCAGCCATCAGAGGGAACAGAGGCAGATTAAGGCCAAACAAATCAGGGAGGAAGGCGTGCTTGACCCGTGTCCCAAAGCTGTGCAACAAGAACAAGGGAAGTGTGGCTGTGTTTATGACAGAAAGTTGTGCTCTTTACTTTGGGTGTGACTGTATGGTTCATAACATTGTTTTTATTTCAATACATAACTAGATACAGATTTATTGTTTTAGGAAGAAGCTAGATTTTTAAAATTCTTTCTCTATCCCATCTTGCGAATGAGTATTAAGGAAAATGTAACTTGGGACTTGAATGAAACAGCGCTGTTTGATTAAGACACTCTACAGTAATTCCAGCAAATTCTCCGTACAGGAGAAAACAGAGGCTCAGAGGTGGAGAATCTTGCCCCAAGTCACAGAAGTTGTCAGTAATGGAACCAGGATTTTAACTGAGCCTACCACGACACTTTCCTTTTCATGCGAGATCCTCTGTCTTTTCCTTACTCAAGGACATCACTCCAGTAATATCCCTTTTCTTGCATCATCGCTCTCCTGGCTCTCTTCAATCTAATATGCTACTTCTTATTCTTATTACACATGCATGTGAGTGCACACGTGCGCACGCGCGCATACACACACACACACACCCTAACCCTACAACCTCTTCCAGCTTCTGTTCCCCTAGATAGCAAAACTCCTAGAACTAAGTTGACTGTACCCATCCTTGCTCCTCTTTTGCTCTGTCTCCACTCTGGCCCTTGGAGACCTCATTTAATTGTAATGGTCTTAAGTGCTATTTGTACTCTGTTCAGAGTCCTAAATTTTTATCTTTAGACCAAGCCTCTCACCAAAGTGATTCTTTCTTAACCCAGGGTATAGTCTCGCCCCCTAATACCTCTCTGATTTCGCCCCCTACTACTCTCCTCTTAGTCTGTTCTCCACATATTGGACTCATTGTGGTTCCTCAGACACGAGGCTCATTCTGGCTTCAGTGCCCCTGTGTTCGTCATGCTCTTTCCCGAGAACGCTCTTCCCCAGGTATAGTCATGGTTTCTTCCTTTACCACCTTCAGATCTTTGCTTAGCTGTCAGCTTCTTAGTAAGAGCTTTCCTGTCTACTCAGTTTAAAATTAGGAAGAAGGAATGCCCCTGCCGCCAGTATGCCAAGTCCCCCTTCCCTGCCTTAGTTTTCTCCATGACATTTGTCACCATAAGACATACCTATATTTTACTTGTTTGTAGTCTGTTTACCCCCTGTAAAATACAAGCTGCAGAAGGGTGGGATTTTGGGGTTGTCAGTTCACTTCTGTCCAGCACTCTAGAAAGTATCTGGCATATAATAGGCGCTCAATAATTAATAGTTACTGTTTAATGAATGAACAAATGAATGTTCATTATACTATACCATGCTACTCCCCTAGAAATTATGAAAAAACAATAAGATATATTAAAATGTAGATTACTAATGTGTCTTAGTGGCAGTGACGTGGTTGATGATATTAGAGAACAGTTTTGAGATTCCAGTGGATCCTGAGTCTCCCTTAAGAATTTTACTTATCAGGGCACCTGGGTGGTGTAGTGGGTTAAGCACCGATTCTTGGTTTCAGCTCAGGTCCTGGTCTCGGGGTCATGAGATCGAGCCCCACATCAGGCTCTGTGCTCAGTGTGGAGTCTGCTCTGTCTCCCTCTCCCTGCCTCAAATTAATAAATAAATCTTTAAAAAAATAATATAATTTATCAAATCTGCATTCAACTCTGATACACAGTTCTAGTTATTCTTGACTTGAAATATTTGGTTTTAGTTATTCCTGATTTCCCCCAGAAAAGAGTAGGTAAGCAGTTTTTAGATACATTCTTAGTATTTTATTTCTCCCAGAAATGACCAGTGTACAGGGGACTCCTATTTCTCTTTTGCCTATCTCAGTTTCTCCATAATGGGAATCTTTTATTCATTAGAAGCTAATTTAAATGCCAAAGGACAATGAAAATGGCAGCCATATTAGTCATGTTTAAGATCATTTAGAAAATTTGGCTTTCATTATCATGCATATCTTGACTAACATTTATTTTTGGAACCCTTCTCCCTGCAGTGATCGTAGTTCTTGTTCTAAATAATCTGACCTTAATACATAATAGATTTCTGGTACCAGAAAGACAATAGACAAAAAATGTTAGTAACTTAAATGAAAAAGTTCCGGAAGGCTGTTTGAGCTCATCATGTGCCATGTCTGAGCTACAATTTACCTTCACTGCTTAGGTGCCATCTGGAGATGGAAGAATTCCATGAGAATGTTATCTAGCAAATACTTGTCCATGTATACTTGTGAATCATTGCTGTGGATGAAATTGATGTTAATTTTGTAAAGACTAAATTTAAGCTGGAGTTTGTATATGAAAAACTCCTGCATAACTACAAAGCGAAGAAATAAGATGATGAATGTCCTTGTAGTGAAGAGTGCCCAAAGTGATAATACCATGACTGGGTGTCAAAAGAAAAAAAAAAAGACTTATTTCCTTGGTAAAACCACAAGAAAATGTCCTATTCAGTGATGTCATATCAAAAAAGAATTTGAGTAAATAGACCAAGTAATATGTGAATGTCTTACGATTGTCAAATTATATTTAATGTCTTTATCTAAATTAGTGGTGTTTGCTATGAATATTCATTCCAGCAAAAATAAGACCAGCTAAAATTGTACTTTCTTTATAGATGACTGAGCTCTTTTCACACCTTTTGTAGCCTTCATATGTAGACCCTAATGTACATTGACTGTAATAAAACATGAAAAGGGTGTTGCTGTCAGGCTAGTCAATTTGACTTTTGGGAAAATCAGTCACACCAAAGAGAGAAAGGCATGGTCAGGCTTCAAGACAGGTTTTCAGATGGTACCAATACAACATAAACACACAGACAAGCTCGAAGAAGTCACAGGGGAGAAGCATCTCATGAGCACAGCAGTATGGGCTCGGGAAGACCATTGAGGTACAAGAGAGATCACTGTCATCTGGAGGTCCAGGAAGGCCTGGGGGAGCACAGACAAAGCATCACCAAGTCTTCATGGCACGTAGGGGTGGGGACAGGAAGTAAACTAGTTTGGTACCAATGTCAGCTCTTTGAAGGGTTGTACAGTAGGAGACTGGGAATTCTGGTTTGAGGGAAGAATACATACAGTCCCAAATGCCAAACTGAGGACTTCAGATATTACGGTGTAGATGGTAAAAAGCGACTGCCAATACAATTCCTTTGGACTCTGTGTGCAGGTGGGTTGTCTTTTGGGGGTACAAGCACTGGAGGCAGAGAGAACTGGTGGAAGCTGGCGCTGTCCAGTCAGGAGGTGACAGGGGCCTGCACCCAGGGAGTAAAGGTGGAAGTGAGAAAGAAACACTCAGACTGAGAGATTTTAAGGAAGGAAAACTAATGAGGCTCAGTGAGTGATTCGAGGTATTTGGAATTAGGAAGCCCCCAAGAGAGTCAAACATGTAGAGTGAAAGTGATGTCTTGTAAACTTGTTATTTTGAAATAACTTTAGACTCACATGGAAGTGGCACCTGGCCGGCTCAGTTGGTAGACCATGCAACACTTGATCTCGGGGTTGTGGGTTCGAGCCCCATGTTGGGTATAGAGATTACTTACAAATAAAACCTTCAAAAAATAAAAAATAAAATCTTAAAAAATTTAGAGAAAGAAGTGGCAAAAACAGTATAAAATTCCCATGTACATTTCACCATTCTTCCCCCACAGTGATGATATCTTATATGACCATAACTAGGAAATTGACATTGGAACGCTTAATTCAACTGCAGGCCTTATTGATTTTCACCAGTTTTTATGTATGTGCATGTGTGCGTGTGTGTGTGTTTCTAGGAAATTTTTATCACGTGTATGGAAGTGTATAAGCACAGCCATAATCAGGATAAAGAAGTGCTTTTCCACCCAGCATGCTACTCCTTAATAATCATCCTCCCCCTAACTCTGAACCACTGATCCATTCTCCATCACTATAATTCTTGTCCTTTTGAGAGTCTTATATAAATGGGATTATACAGTATCTGACTGTCTATGAGAAACTCCGGTCTCCAGGGTGTTCTCTTTTCCTCTCACAACTACCACACTCAACAGCACTTCTGACACCAGGTGTGTCTGGGTTATTTCCTCACATCAAGCAGTTCTCTGACACCAGTTGGGTGTCCTTCATTTTAATTCAGTTCTGACACTGACTGAAATTAATCCAGACCCCACAGGTTAAGGGCTTGGTCCCAAGAGACTGTCCCCCAGTTCAGATGCCAGTAGCAAGTAGTAGGTCCCCAGGTTACCCACGACTTCTGTCCCACTTGCCTACAAATTAGAGATTCCCATAACCCACCCCATCTCAACCTTGGATTTGACTGTTTGCTAGAACAGCTCACTTAGGGAAACACTTAGGTGTACCAGTTTATTATATGATAAAAAGTGTGGTAAAGGATACAGATGAAGAGATACATAGAGCAAGGTCTTGGAAGGGTCCTAAGCACAGGAGTTTCTGTTCCCGTAGAAGGTGGGGTACACCACACTCTTGATATGTACATGTGTCCATCAACCCAGAAGCTCTCCAAACCCCATACTTTGGGAAATTTTATGGAGGCTTCATCACGTAAGCACTGATCATTGACTCTATTTCCAGCCCCTGTCCCTACTCTAGAGAATGGCAGGGGAGGGCCCTGAACATTCCAACCTTATGATCATGACTTGGTCTTTCTGGTGACCACCCCCCATCCAGGAGCCCACCGGGAATCACCTCATTAAAACAGAGACACTGCTGTCACCCAGGAAATGCCAAGTGATTTGGGAACTCTGT